TCAGCGAAAAAAAAAAACATTGCAAGAAAATAATGTCGCTAAATCAAAAATAAAGTTTTAAACTGACATTTTATACCAGCTCACGAAAAAGGAATGAAGCGCCTGCAACAAGAAATATCAGTGGGCAAAGTTATTCTTAGCATCTGGGTCCCTTAGTTTGGATGTACGCGGTATTTTTGTTTCGAAAATTTTCGTGAGCCGTACTGAGGGCATACACAGACGTATTATGCTTACTCTGCTAAATCTGCAAGCAGTGCAATGTTGTTTTTTATTTCATATTTATATTTAGAAGAAATGCGTAAGTTATACCGTTGGGATACCGGCAGGTTGGAAGAGCTGCGCAGAATGATGATCTCTGGCGAAGTTACGAATGATGCGAAGCTTTATGTTGTAGACCGTTGTACAGGCCCAGTAGAAATAAAATAAAAAACGCCAGGCCTGCGCGGGAGGTGCATCACAGTCGCAGCTGAAAATTCGCAGAGCGGCCTTTCAGAGCCTTTTCTAAACACTCATTGGGTAACTGCTGCAAGCACACGGTATCCACTACGCCATTGTTAGTAAAAATTTTACGGTAGTTGGCCCGCATTCACAACGCTATTTTTCGTCATTCTTCTGAGAAGCGTAGTATCTACTGAACACTTGCAAAGAATTTCATGCCAATTGTTCATGCAGTGGCTGACGGGTCACGAAGATGAGCAATTATGACTGAATTGGGTATGCGCCACAGTTAATAGCTGAACAAGAACAAGCTTTTGTAATTGGAGGTCACTTATACCAGATTGCGCTGCGCAGTTCCACAACTAAATTATTACCTTAACAAAGCTTGACTCAAGGCGTCACCGCTATGCGTTTGGTGCAACGAAGTTGAAACAATCGAACATTTCTTTTTATTCTGTCATCGTTATTCTTATCAGAGAAAAGGATTTTTAGTAGCCCCATTACAAAAGCTAGGAATACAAGTAAATCTATCAGTAATTTTATCACTTGGCGGAACTTCATTTGGTTACTGCCACAGGAATATATGCTCCACTGTATTTGATTACATCAACGCAACTAAAAAATTACCATGCTAGTGAACCCTAACCTTTTCAGATCATTAGTTTATAATTCGTTGCTATGTCTGTTAAAAACAAAAGATGGTTTGACCACTTGCTCAGCAAACATTTTTGTTTATTGGTAGTATTATTTCTAAAATACTTTTTTTCAGATTAGCTTTATTTTCATTTTTAGTTTCATTTAAGTATCCTGCTGCCCGGTTCTTGGCCCATCCCCCTCTGTGGGTGAGCGCCATCCATCAGAGTTCATCAGCATCAGCATAATGGGATGGAGCATTGGACGGCCCACTCATTAGGGAGTTTTAGTGCTGGGTACGCATTCTCTTGGGGTGTTGCGGGCTTGGGAGCGCGCGGCGTTGCGCGCTCAACCCATACCCAACCGGAATGCCTTTTAGTTGGCGCCACGGTGGCTCGCGCGCAAACGCAAGCCGCACGAAGTTCACACGCGCTCGCAGAGCCACAGCGTCTGGTGGCGTAAGTATTTTTTAAGTCTTTTTATGAATTAAATTGTTAAACTAAACATACATAGTGATCAGGACACTTTTTTTATTGTGTACTGTAATCTGGTATACGCAAAAAAGTGAAAAATACAAGGTTACTGTAACGACAGTGTCGACATCTTGTGACACTTCGTGCAACCGCAGTCATGAACAAGTTAGCTTACGCGTAATGTTTTTGAAGTGAAAATGAATAAAAAGGTTACTCATTTGTAATATTGTCGCTGCGCAGTTTTTGCACCAGATGTACAACGCACAATGTTTCTGCAATAACAAAGTTGTGGTTGTCTGTTTCACTATGGCCGCGCTAAATGGCGTCACCTATTCAGCTGGTCGGGGACTGGCATATGCGTTTTAGTTTCTATGTTCCAGGCCACTCTAGCTTTGGAAATCTGGCTGAAACCGTGTAATCGTTATAAGTGCTCGCACTTTGGCTTATTTTAACTCGACGGCTAGAGCATCCGCAGTGCGGATACCGTGAGTTCTTGCGAAGGTGGACCGCGCGGACGCATGGCCCCATCGCCCCAGCGATCTTGCGACGCATCTGTTTGGGGTTTCGCGCATGCGCAGTACCGCCGCCCCAACGTCATGCGTACGCAAGCCGCTTGGGTACCCAGCACTAAAACTCCCTATTATGCTATTCGCAATGCGCGACGACTGGTTGTTATTCCGCTGTTTTAAAACGCTTTATAAGTCGTATTAACGTGATTGCTTTCCCAACATCAAGCCTGCCTAAGGCAAGTTTGCCAACAAGTCCCAAACACCAGTGTGGCTCCGTGGTAGAATACGGCACCCAACGGACTCGGGTTCGAGTTCCAGAGAGAGAGAAAAGCCTTTATTCACAGGATTAATGGGGTAGGTGCCGGCCTCGCAGGGCGCGGTCTACCCTTCTAATGTTCTAGTATATGCAGTCTTAGAAACACTGGGCCAAGAACTCGAGGGTTGAACCTGACTTGACAGAGGATACTTGGGTTTCCGCGCCCCGCGCTTGCGGTGCACGAAGTTCCTTGTTCTCCTCTGCCTGGCCTGGGCCCCCTCGAGCCGCTGGATGGATGTATTTCTGAGATTGGCAGTCCACCGAGCGTATGCACCGCTCCATCTGCGCTGGCAATCCTTGGCGGGCGGTGCTGTCGTCGGCACCAGTCACCCCGCCATGAGATTCTCCAGCCCTGCCGCACACATCACCGTCGCACGAACCGCCGCCCGGTATCGCTGCACTGTCACACCTCATTATGTGTCGTGTCAGTTTGAGCTTCACTGTGTCATTAGTACTAGGTTTTTTTCTATCTTCATTTGATGTGATTACGGACACCGCTGGCGGCGGACAACAGCGCGTGACCAGAGTTGTGATCTCATAACAGCTTTCCCTGTAAAAAAAAAAAAAAACATTAACACCAATTGGGAAATCCAATTAGCCTCAGTTGCCCCCAGTTGGTGTGACCTATTATACAATAGGTTTCAATAGGATGTTCTGAAGTGTCCTATTCGAAATGCTATCAGTGGCCCTTCTCTAATTGGTCCCCCAACACAGCAAGAAAAAGTCACTTGGTCCAATCGGTCATACCGATTGGCCCCCAGTGGGATGGGCTAAAATAAATTGGGACCTTGAACTTCATTAGGAAAGCCCAATTTGAAATAATGGTTCCAAGGCAATCGGTGTAAATTTTTCATTTCGCCATCCTATTAGAATTTTCGATAACCCAAATGCTTGTGCAATTCAAAGTCAGTCCATATTGGAAGATTGTTATTCTGATCGGAATGTTTGAACATCATCATTATGCATGTTCATGTGATAAGAGGCCTTCGAATCGACATTTTTGTAGTAGCACCAATTGGATATTGTTACACATCCAATTGGTGTTTTATATAGGGCAGTTCCGGGTAGGAATAATTACGTATACTGAATCGATATTATTTATATTAAATATCCAGTCGAGGGAAATGCATCAGAGTTAAGATTGATCTAATAATTAATCAATATTTTTATAGTGAAACTCATAAATGGGAATGGGCTATGGACCATTTACACCAGATATGGTTCTAATGGGAATTCCACCAATTGATTCCAATTAAACTTTACTGATTGTCAATTGGTTTCATTTGGACATCACAGTAATGAGTAAAGCTATAAGACAAGAAAATAGTTCATAGAAATGTGTTTGCAACTACAACATTACTCCTGAAATAAAATATATTTACGTTTTAATATAAAGTGCCAGGTGTGTCATGTATTTCATCTGTTCACTTTACAGTCTGCCGCGAAAATTTCCCTAGTGTTTTCGGGTCCCGGCACAACTCACTACAGGCTGAAATTACTGACATGTTGAGTGAGATTATGTTTAGATATGAACACTACATGTGTGTAGAAATTTTTCATTTCATCCGTAGCTTTCACAAATGCTAGGTTCATGAAATCTAACTGTTGTGTTCTGGGTTTCGGAATGACATGTGAGGATGCCAGGGGACGCCGCTCTGGCATCCAGGGTTTCAAGGCGACTGTAAAATAAAATCAGTGTATGTTTAGCAACCGTGGAGTGCGGTTGTTGTTCTTTCCTTCGGCGTTTCGCGCCAACCCGCGTGTTCGGGCTGATCGGCGTCCCCGCCGGCCGCGTACGTCTCCGTCGGCCGTCTTCTTCTGCTTCGTCGGGACCAGCCAGCCCCCAACACAGCACTAACAACATAGTTTCTTACTTTTGATGCATATCCAATGAGATTAACAGATCAGACTCTTAATTCAGAGCTTCGTGGTATTTTATATTGGCGAGATTGGTCTGACCAATGAACCTAATTGGTCAACCCATTTATATTAGGTTTTTTTTTTATGCTACCCAGTGTTTGAGTTGGTTATGCCCCCCTTCAAACCTAACAGCTAGGACTTCCAATTGAACCCGTTGGAATATTTCAATTGGTATCCCAAAACACAATTGGAAACTTTTAATTGGTCGAATCGGAAATGTCCAATCGGTTTCAATGTGATCCGATTGTAAATTTCCGACTGGTCAGGAAAATTTTTCATTATTTCTTTTTCTGACTGGGGGTGCGCCATAGAACTTGGAAATAATTCTCTTGGGACATAAACAAGAGTCTGAAAAGCAATATTTTGATGTTAGTTGGAAGAACGTGCCTTTCCCGAGGCCTTTTTATTGAGACCTTTACGACCCTGCGGATATGGCAGCTACTGCGGACGCGCGCAACTTTAATTGATCTTTCAAAGCAGACCACATCTCTCCATCACTGCACTACACTAATACCGAAACCGAAACCAAAATGTGGCTAAGATACTTGTTATAAATTATAGTAATGTTGCGTAATAAAAGCACTTGTAGTTGTTATACATTGTATTTGCTTTCTGAGTTGTACTTTTGTTAGTAAATGTTTTGAAGGATACTTTTTGTGTGTGCTAGTTTCGGTTTGCTGTTTGTAAACTCTAGCCACACGAGCCCTTTCTGTCGCTGTCATCGCAAAGATGTAAAGATGGCTGAGGGCACGTAAGTAACCGCTTCGCTAAAATAACCACGTTAAGCGTAATTACAGCGCGTATAACACGTAATGAGCATCACATATTATCGTAGCGACATCGTTTGTGCCCGATGCAGCGTCAGTTGTTCTTGCACTGCGCCTTAACTTGCTGTCGACAACGATTTTTTGCGTGTGCAGGAATCCTGACGAAGGAACGCCGTGGTGGAATACTTGGTTGCAGACAGCGAAAGACAAGGTGAGATGCCATAATTATGTGTTTTCGTTGCTTTGTTAGGCCTCCGTGCTTGCTGCATTGTAATGATATTGCGTTTACAGTCAGCGGCACACGATTTGCGTTGACGGGGTTGTCCCGAGCCGCTCGGGAGAGCGCACCGTTCGAGGGAAAAGGCGCGGCGCATTGGCCTCTTGCATCACGTTGCCGACTGTTTTAGTGCTTTGCCCCTGCGTGGCGGTGTAGTTTTTTTTTTTTTTTCGCTTGCTGTCCGCACTCTACGCCTGTCGCTTTATCTCTCATTGACACGCCGGCTACTCGCAACTAGCACCAGAAATAAAGGGTTTGTTTATCCTCGCCTCGAGTGGCGTTCGATTGTGCCGTTTTGTGAGCTTCCGAAACAAGCCTGCGACGGCACCGTTACGCAGTTCACATCCAGTACTGCGCGTCCTCTTGACTACACATGGTCTTTTTTTTTTTCCTCCGCCTACATTCGTGAAAACTGTAGCTGTGATTCCTATCGCGAGCTCTCGTTGGCGAAAACCGCACCGCGGCGGTTATGACTCGCCCGCACAGCTGCGATCAGCGCTGTAGAAACCATGTGCGCGCTTCAGCTGGCTTCAGTTGCTCGGCAAGTGCGATGCAGCGAAACACCGTCCCTCTGTAATATAAAGTTGTTCTAACGCGTGTGACCCTAACACGCCTTGCTATCCCAGCGGTGTAGCGCCTCTGAGTTGCGCAGGACGTGGGTGCGATTTTCGACCATAGCGGTCGCATTTTGGTGCTTGGGAATGGGAAGACATTCTTGTAGTTAGATTTATGTGCACGTTAATTTTCTCGATACCTAGGCGCCTTTGTGTAGCTAGTTGAAATAGGTGATGTCGACATAAAAAAAGTTACGCTCGGGAAGTTTCAGTTTTGGAGTCGTGCGTTTCGAATCGGCTGTGGCATGCTTGGGCTCCTTTGCACAAATTTGCACAACGCGAGATTGCACATATTCGTGACGCATGCTGACGACCTCACTTCACCTTGGTGTGTAACTGAGCTGATGCTCCGAAGTAGGTGTTTTTTTTTTTTTTTTTCTTTTTTTTTTTTTTTTTTTTTGTCGTGGAGCTGTGGATAGGTCGGGTCGTTGCCGTGTGGCTGGAACCATTTTGCGCCGAACGCATTGTTGCGATGCCCGCGCAAGTGATTACTCATCAGAGTGTCTGGATCGCCTAGCACAACCGCTGTATAACAAATGCAAGCGTTTGGGCATTTACGCGCCAAACCACCTGTGCCGACAGCGTTCGCGCTTGTGCTTGTTTTCGTGTGGCGTTCGCATTCTCCCATTTCCTTCGCCAATCGCATCGGTTCACGAATATCGCACGCGCGACCGGCGTGTTTACTTGTGACCCTCAGATAAGCTGTGCGCTTGTGGGGCTGAAGTTTGTTCATTTTTCTTTCGATACTGTGGTTTTGGTATGCAGGCCGCGGTATGGACTAGCGCCTGTCAAGAGGACGACTGCACGACCTTGGTAGACACCTAGGTCTGCTTATCAGTACAGGGCATTAGATACCTCGCAAAGAAAGTCGGCATTCTGTCGATGCTGTGTCTCACATGCAGTGGGAACTAATAGACAATGATGCAAAAGAAAGTATAGGGGATGTTATTAGAACGTCATTCTAATGTAATTGTTTTAAAAAATGTGGATGAAATGATATATTGCAATCTGCAGGATCCAAACCCTGGGACGTTCGAATGACGTGTTCAGTGCTCTACCTCTGAGCTATGGAGGCAGTCATCCCCCCACCCTTCTTATAGGGTGTATAGGGGCATTTAGATTATGGGAACTTTACATATATACCCATTTAAATGTGAAAGTTCAGTGCCAGAGCATCGAACATGTCATTTGAAAGTTGCAGGTTCAGATTCTCCTGGTGGCAAGTTATCGTTTCATCTACATGTCAGCAGGCAAGAAAGTGTTCCACCCTCGCCGTGATGGCTATGGGCAGCTGTGACTGACCCACGTTTAATTGCACATATTACCCTATAATGTGGGCAAGAGGGATGACCATCACCGTGGCTCATTGGTAGAGCATCGTGCATGTTATTCAAAGGTTGCAGGTTCTTGTCCTGCCGGTGGCAAGTTATATTTTGTTCACATTCCTCAAATTTGCACTCCAGTTACTTCCAATAACATCTCCTATACTTTCTTTGGCAGTCATTGTCTGTTTGTTCTCACTAATAGTGCATAAGAAGTGGTGATGTGTTGTTGCCCACGGTCATCATTTTGAGTGATTTTAATTGCTGGTATTAGGGGTTTGTAATTTACATATAAGGGCACAACTCTGTGGAGTTGAAAAAAAAAAACGAAGCTTGTAGCCATGTTGGTAAGTGGAGAACACATTTTGTTTTGCTGACAGGCATGTCATAGGGCATGGTATTTCAATAAGCTCTTTGAGCAACCTTTGCCTGAAAGTAGGAAAGAAAAGGAATTGATCAAGGGCCTATTTCCTTATTAAATACCACTTCAGCAATGTTACACAATGTCGGTCCTTATCGCCTCGGCACACGGCCAACGACCAAGCAAGGCTTCTTCCACATTTCACTTGTGTCATAGCAGCACGGCAGAGAAGCCCAATGAATGTGTGGCCGAAACTGCATCACTGTAGGACCAAGATGCCGTTTTGTAGAGTACCAATCAATGAAGTTGGTGCAAAGTAGTGGTGTCCACGGACAAAATTACGTCACTTCACGTACAAATATGCTTGGACTGACTCGGGATAGGAGCGCTAAAATTGGTCTACAAAATAAAGCATCTGCATGGCACATGGTGTGGTGCTATTCACAAAATGCGATCGCTGTGGCTGTCTGCACAAATTGGCAAGCTTGTGTGGGAGACGTCGAAGCTTGTTTACTGGCCTTTTCGAATAGTTGGAGTGTGTGGCTAAATGAAGACATGCCTTCATGAAAGGATTATTTCTGTATTGTTCTTGTTCATTTATTCACGTACTATGGAATGTCATGTCCCTGGTAAAGCCTTAATAGACGTCACCGTGATACTTAACTTGCCCTGATGCAGTCATCAACGGCTTACGAGTTCTTCAAGCGAGACCTGACAGAGTTCTCGAGCACAGTCCAGCAAGACACAGCGCAGGCGGTCTCGTCGACGGCGGCCTTCGTGCGAGACAAGCTCAAGGTCGGGAAACTTAAGTCGCCTCAAAGTGGAGGATAGCATAACTTCTTCAAATACTGTAGAAAACAACAATATCACAGATATTCATGCGTAATCGTTTCAATCATTGTGTTATTGAGGCTGAAGTGTTTTGTACCTCACTCCTATAATAAAGGTTTTCATTTGTCAATAATAGACACTAAGTACATTGAGTAAGGTTATAAATTGAAAGGTGATATAGAGACAGAAGCATTCGTTCAGTATACAAGTGGTGACATGTCAAAGAATAATTGACATGAAAGATGTCCTCTTATGTGTGCATGTTTATGAAGATGGTTCCTTCTTTTTTATTTTCAACGATAGACATTCAGACAGTGCAGTCATCTCAAACATTTTAGACAACTTTATTATGAATAACAAAGTTATTTGAGCTTATTATATAGGCAGGACATCACCCAATAATGAAACCACAGTTTCTTATCAAACACTGCTTGTTAATGAATATGAGTAGCTTATTAAATATATGAAGATACTGTTTATGCCATGCTATGCCACTCGGAAAGCTACATGTTTGTGATTAAAATAAGTGAAATTTATATATGCCAGTGAGTGTGGAGTTTGCCAGCTAACTGCTTGATCGCACTCCAAGCTTCATGCTGGCTTTTGATGAGCGTCGCTTCGTAACATGCCGAATGGCAGTAGAGATTTTATAAAGTAGTTTATGTATGAAGATCTTGAGATTGTATCAAGAGCTATAGTTGTGGTTCATGGTTTGAAAACGATTCAACGGTTCAACTGTAGCCATGTGCAAGTTCTGAAAGCAGCATATGTCTTCCTTAAAATAGACAAGCCTGCTCTAATAAGCGTGCTTTGGACTTGCATCATAAATTGGTTGGTCAGTGACCTCGTTATAAAGTAACATTGCTGTGTACATGTGCGCAACTAATTTTTTAGTTACTGAGGAAATGGGCTGCTGACGTGCTGGGGTCATCTACAGTGGGCCTCTCCTGCCTTAAGCTGTATACAACTACAGATTCCGCCATCCTTTTATTTTGAACTTGGTCTTAGAAGTTGGTGCTCTCACACCTCTAGAAAGACAAAAACAATGCTTTTGCTGAAGGCTATAATGTTGGAATTCATCTGCAGTGAGCGTTTAGCCCTCCCTTTACTGCTCTCTGCACGGATGCCAATCTGAAGTTCTCTCCCTCCCTTCAATAAAGTTCTCTGTCTGTCTCTGCCCCAGTTGGATGGGGAGAACTCGGTGACGTCCAAAGCCAAGGAGGGCCTCACCAGCCTCATCGGGAGCATCAGCGAGGCCCTGTCGCCCACCTGGGACCCTGCTGATGACGAGCTGTCCGTCATCCACGACAATGAGGTGCATCCCGTCGACCGCTGGCAGGTAGGAGGCTGAGAAGATGTTCTGAAATGCACGAGGTGTGGCCACAGTCTTCGCGATACTTGCCAGTGTGAAAGCGGGCACTGTGTGGTAAAGAACTGCTTAGAATGTCTTGTGTTATTCCAAAGTTTGTGTTCTTAACCACACTTTACCATCACGAACATGTACAAATGTGTCGAACTAGCAGCCATTCAGAATGGGCAATGTATCTGTACACAAGCATAAAGTTGTGCCTTCATTGCTATTTATATTGGTCTCCTGTTGAAGAACCCTGCTTGGGTAACTTACAGTTATGGAAATACCCAAGGAATATTGCTTTTCTTAAATGTACAGTTGCTTTTCGTATAAGTGGGTAGCGTGCATTAGTGCTGGTTTTGCGGCCTTTTGTGCTCCTCCGTATTCAACACTAACCCTCTCATTTGCGACCTTTACAAAAACGTCTATAAATGCCCCAGATTTACACAATATTTCAAGGCATTCAGTACTCTTTTGTAATTAAGTTGTAATGAATTATCTATATACAGTATCTATATACAGATAGATTTTTCGGACTCCGAAAATTCGGACTTGTTTGATATTTCGGACTTGAAAAAGTTCACCGACAGGGTTCCCATAGGGTCAATGCATTTTTTCGACCAATTTTTCGGACTAAATCGCTTGTTTTAAGCTGCGCCACGGAATATTACGGACGTTGCCATGTTGGATTTTTTGCCGGCTTGACTAAGCTTAGTGGCTTAACTTTAAAAGAGCTTTTTTGCCTCCAAAATTGGAAAGCGAACGACATATTTCAAGTTTCGAAGGCGTGTCTCTGCTTTAGAAAACGCGGCACGGGACCATTTTTCCGTCTTCGGTCAGCTATAGGGGTCAACACTGTCATCATCGCACCGTACAGGGAGGAGGCAGAGCTGCGCAGTGGTGAAGTGAATGTATGGTTGTAGTATGGTTCCTAGAATAGTGAATGTGCCTGCCACGATGACATTTTTCGCTCGTGCGTACGATGACAATTTCGTGCGCAGCGCCCACAGACGAAGAAATTCTTCGCCAGGTTATGCCGCCGCTGGAGAGCAGTTCGGATGATGATGACTGGAGACCGGATCATACGCAAATGCCTATTTTGTTTCTTGCGTTTTTATTGTGCAATTCTGATATATGAGCATGAATTCGAGGTTAAGAAGGGATTTTATGGTGTTTTTGTAGTGCCTATAAATGCCTATTTTAGGTGTTTGTACCTAAATGCCTATAAGTGCCTATAAATGCCTATTTTACAAATGAGCGCGTATGTGAGCGCTATTCTAGCGCAAACTTTGTTTTTGAGCGTGGTGTGAAACCGTTATTTATGTGAAAAAGGCAGCTATAATATTTCCAAACATTATAAGGTTCAACGAAGACAAAGCTGACATGCTGCGAGCAATTGGAGGATGAGTGTGACAAGTGCAAAAGACCCTATTTCTGCAGCCCTGAGTGAAAGAATGTCTCAGCGTCTGCAGGGGAAGGAGGAGTGAGAATGAAAGATGCGGTAAGAAAATAAATGTGATGTCTATGGCCAAGGATGTGGTGACCACCTTTTACAAATGGCTGTCCGGTGCCCTGAAGGAACTGAAGAACCACCCCGAGAACCTGGGTGTTGCGGCGGGAAAAGGAAGAGCAGGTTTTTCTGGGCAGCCGTGGATAGCTGGAGAAACGAATGAAAACCCATGGAGGACCACTCATGGAATGTTCTTGTTGATTCAGTGGTGGCAAAGGTCGCCAAATCGTTTTACTAAGCCTGAGACAGGGGCGGGCATGTTCACAATCAACGGTGTAATTAGCATACATTCACTGTATGCTTGAATATGCTTGTTCCATATGAGATCCCTTGTCATATGTCTTTAAGTGACCAACTAAAAAAAAATACAGAACAGTGCTTCAAGGTTTGTCCAAAGCCATTACTCAAAAATGACAGCTGTAACAATATAAAATTTAACCAGGATAGGAATTACTATAATCGCACTGAATTAAACTGCATTTAAAGCTCCTGTGTCAAGCATTTCATGCTAAACTCACATTCGAAAATGAATGTACCCAAACAGTCCTCTTCGTGCAATGGTAATTAACATTTTAGAATATCGTATCAGATATATCTTTTCTAATAATTCATTTTTTATTTGATTCATGACAGAATGGAATGGCTTTTAAAGAGAACAAAGTGTGTTGTGTCAATGAAGGCGTGTTTTCTCTGACATTTTAACCCATCTGCTGCAGCGCTTTCAAGTAAAAATGTGATGTACAGGCGGATTTCGTTTTGTTTGTAATTTACTTTTTAAGCGTCTCTCTTAGGTGACACAATAAGTTGTAGTTAGACATTAGAAGTTCTTGTGTGCTCAATGAAAAGCATTGTACCATGGTGATTTTACAAATTGGTTCGCTACGAGCCACCACAGCATGATGCGAAGGGGCAAGCTTGAATTCTTTGCCTCTAGCCCCATGTAGTCATCGTGAGCCTCATTCCTTCCCTGTTTTCTTCGGTATCGGCGCTGGAAAATCACATGAGGCATACGCACCGTGCACATTCGTGTATTACTCATTTCTGAGGAATGGATCACTCGGTGCGCATACTTTTGTAGACGCTGGCAAGGATCATGTATTGTTATTGCGGTACACCCCGTCGCTCCGCTGAAACTGCGGTCAGAGACGACGCACCAAACACAAGCTAAGCGTTGTCAGGGTTGGCGAAGGCACGATGCAGGAATGACGAGAAGACGAACGCGAGCGAAATGGGTACTAGTAGTAGTAGTAGTAGTAGTAGTAGTAGTAGTAGTAGTAGTAGTAGTAGTAGTAGTAGTAGTAGTAGTAGTAGCAGCAGTGGTAGTATGTGTGGTTTAACGTTAAAAAATACCACATTATGAATATGAGGGATGCCGTAGTGGAGGTCTCCGCAAATGTTGACCAACCGGTGTTCTTTAACGTTAGTGCGCTGACATTCTACAGTACACGGGCATATACTTTCTCACGTCCATCTAGATGTGACCGCCGCGGCCACAATCGAACCCGCTGCATTCGGGTCAGCAGCGGAGCACCCTATAGCGACTGGTCCACTGAGGCAGATGGTAAACGAGGGCCAATTAGTTGATAGCATCTTGAGGCTATTCAAAACAAAAATAAAAATAATAAGAAGCTGAGATTCCGTTTGCATATTTCATTATTTTTCTCAGCATTCATTCATTATACTGATTTTCAAATGGCAGCGCGAAGACACAGGGAAAAGAAAGACAGAGACAAAGAGCGCTGTCTTTCTTTTCCGTTTGTTTTTGCGCTTCCCTTTCAAAATGATATGAAGCAGCTAGCCCAAACCATAGTACTTCTCAGGCATCCTACACAACAGAACACACAAACTGCACATGCCAAGTAATGTCACATGAAACGCTCCTAATGAGGTACCGTTTAAAATGCAGGATATAATCAGAAGACGGTACATTTTTCGTCTCTTTTTATAGATACAGCTAGCATTCATTTAACGAAGTTCTGATGAAAAGCATACAGAATGCGACATCAGCTCACCAATGTCAACGTAAAGGAGCGACCAAAAAACAGGACCATTCCTTGCTGTACGTCACTCCCTAGATCTTGGGGTGCACGCCCGCGAAAAGGGCAAGTGGCATTCATTAGAAATTAAAGCGTTTTTCCGCAAGATGTAATCTTGCAAATCTTAACAGGAATGATCGGGAGCACCCAGTGCACCATTACGCATGTCAGCTCGAAATGCCCAAACCAAGTGAGGGGCCCTTTAAGGTGTTCACCGAAAGGGAAAAAATCGGCCCTACGCGATTAGACCTAGCATCCCTCTCTTCTAGGGTATCAGTGGTCTCGTTATTTGCTCCCTCCTGCACTGCCTTTCCCAGCCACAACGAAACGAATGAGACCCATGAGAGTGTTAATTGAATGGTGGACACTTGACCCACAATGATAGACAATAAAACAAAAGACCACATACTGCAAATCGCACGGGAAATGCATGCCTATGTTAAATCCTTGGTACCTTTATTCTATCCTAAATATCTTTCTTGCTTCTTGCCGTAGATACAAGTCACCGACGTCGTTGTTTTGGGATATTTGAATTTTTGTAGAAATTTATTGTGCGTATAAGTATGATTTTGAGGGTCTAAAATGGTGTTTTACCTGCCTGTCTTTGGTGCCTAAAACACACTTTTTTTAGTGCCAAAAAATCCGGCCTCTAATGATAACGATGATCGCTCGCAGCTGTCGGTGGCGGAGATCGCCACCGCGGTGACATTGTCGAGCATTTACGGTGACGATGTGACCTTTGCGCAAATACGGGCGAACCAAATTACTTCCAAGCGTAGTATGAGGCAAGGCAGAATCATGGACTTTTTTTAAGTCTGCCTGATGCAATAAAGTTCATATTTTTGACAAAAACAAATTTTTCGGACTGTTAGATTTCTCGGACTTTTCTTTTCGGTCCCCGCCACGTTCGAAAAGTCGGTCAGTGACTGTATTCTTAAGTCAGTTTTGCCCTATATTTACGTAAATGGTACAAAACCTTTGGCTAAAGATACTGCACAATTACATTTTGTATTATATTCATTTCAAAGAAAATATATTTTCGACTTGGGCCATAGAAGTTGCACGCCTTACAACATGTCAGGCATGTTGGTGACTTAAGTACAAAGATTGCATGCAGCAATACTCTGCAAGCTAAGTGAAGACTTGTTTATTACGCGGAAGGTTCAGATCATCCAAACTTCAAATTTTGTTTTTTCATAGCCTTTAGTCAACACAGATAGCAAAAACAGGCTGCGTAAACAATTTTGTACAAAGCAGGTCAAAGTGTTTCACATCAAGCTCGCCTTTGTGGCAAGATAAGTACACTGACACCTCGATATGACAAAATATCGGTTACAATGAAGTAAGTGAAGAATAGCTTTGTCATAAATACAGCGTAACAAATATACGTTTATAACAAAGTTTTGGATATAATGAAGCATTTCCATGGCATGTGTGACTGTTATAATGAAGCTTGAGTGTAGTGGGAAGATTTCATTGATGGTGTTCACCGGTCGGCTGTTATTCCAGGCCTGCCTGCACTCAATTCTGGTTGACCGCAACACCTACTGCCATGAGCCAGACTCCCCGCCAGAGGTCTACGAGAGCTGGCTGGAGACCTTCAACATGGAAGACCACAAGGTAAGCACGGGTTTCCAGTGCGTTACCCAACAGAGGATACCCGTAGGCCTCTGCAAATAGTGAATTTTAGGGTTGAAGCGAATTCGAAGCACGTAGTGAATTTGGTCAAAGAATTTCAAATCAGGTTCGAATACTGTATATTTCATAGTATACAGAAAGATTGGCACACTTTTCATGATGCAGTTAACCTGCACAATATATTCTCATGAGGTCATGACCTGGACGAATGGAGCACACTGCGAGTCGAATAATAAACTGTTTATTTGGGCGAACCTGTGCCCAGTAAACAGTAAGTTGGATTACAGTAGCAGTCTTGCACTGATAGCGGCAAACGGAGCATCGGCCGTCGATCAAGTGACAAGGGGCGAAGTGTGTCAGCATTTATACCCTCCATCGAATATTCTAGCATTATCGCTAGCGGTGAGGTAGGTTCTCGAATATTCTGTGACGTTCCCGAAGTGGGTATAATCTTAACAAAATAATCTACTAAAGCCTAGGAGCTTCTAGAACATTGTAGGCGTAGTTCGCACTGAGCGCAGTGTAACAGGGGTGATAACAAACCTAAGGAAAGTAAGGTGGAAAGATATATATATATATATATTGTCGTGGTACAGCGCGAACCAAAGCCAGATAAACATTGACACAGCGACTCTCAGCAGCCGAACAGCAAGATCACCTTCCTTACCTTCGATCAGCCAGAGCTCCACTACCTGGTGTCTGTTAAATCCCCTTATCGTCGTTTTGGTCCACCAGTACACACGCGTCATTTGCCCCCCTCTTATGAGCATCGCCCCGATGCTAAACCAGTAGTGCAGTTTCTTTTTTTTTTTTAAGAAGTGTCTTGCGCAGTCACTACCTTTCATAAGGCTTCATGCGCACAACGTGAACTAGTTCAGGACGGTGCTGGCGAAGCCTCGTACTACATGAACTGTCGGGGATGACCTCGTAAGTAACATCACTCAGTCGTCGCAGTACTAGGTATGGCCCAAAGTATCTCCTTAGGAGCTTTTCAGAGAGTCCTCCTTTCCGTATGGGCGTCCAAACCCATATTCTGTCGCCGATCTAGTAAACGACTGTTCTGCGGCGAGAATTGAAGTGGCTGGCGTCTTACTCTTGTTGTTGCTGGATTCGCAAGCGTGCTAGTTGCCTTGCTTCTTTCGCTCGTTCTGTAAACATCTTGGCGTCCGGTTCGATGTCGTCGCATTCGTGCGCTAGCATCGCATCTAACATGGTTCGTACTTCTCTTCCGTGAATTAGGCTGAACGGGGTCATCCGGGTTGTTTCTTGCTTGGCCGTGTTGTATGCAAACGCGATATATGGCAAGATTTCGGCCCAATTTTTGTGTTCGACGTTTACGTACATTGAAAGCATGTCTTCAATTGTTTTGTTCAGACGCTCTGTAAGCCCGTTCATTTGCGTGTGGTAGGCACTGGTCTTACGATGGGTTGTTCCACTCAGCATGAGGACTTGATCCAAAAGAGCTGCCGTAAATGTGGTTCCTCTGTCTGTGATTACGACGCTTGATGCACCATACTGCAGGACAACGTTCTCGATGAAAAATTGTGCCACCTCCGCTGCTGTACCTCTCTTGATAGCCTTTGTTTCCGCATAACGGGTAAGGTAATCAGTCGTGACGATAACCCAGCGGTTCCCAGCAGTAGAAGTAGGAAGTGGGCCCAAAATATCCATGCCAATCTGGTCGATTGGTCTTTTGGGACCTGCACAGGCTGCAGGAGGCCAGCTGATTTAGTCGGCAGTGACTTCCGTTGCTGGCAGTCGAGGCAAGTACGAACATGGTGTTTTACGGCGATGGTCAGTCTTGGCCAGAAGGAGCGTTGCCGTACTCTGGCCAACGTTCTCGTGTAACCTAAGTGGCCTGAAGTCACCTCATTGTGGCATGCTTTGAGTACTTCGGAGCGAAGGGCTGGTGGGATGACTAGCAAGTACGCAGATCCTGCCGAAGAGAAGTTTCTTTTGTATAGTACTTCGCCCGTAAGCAAAATGATGACAGCGCTCTTACGAAAACAGTTGGTGCCTTCTCAGATCTTCCGTCCAGGTAATTAATTAGGGCAAGTAACTCAGGGTCGTCATGTTGTTGCTGCGCAATAGCGGTCGAGTCAAGCACACCGAGAAATGCTGTTTCGTCCTCATCGGATAAAGTTGCCAATTTAATGGGTGAGCGGGATAAACAGTCGACGTCCATGTGGCGGTTCCCTGAATTGTGTACGACCGTCATGTCGTACTCCTGCAGCCTGAGACTCCAACGTGCTAATTTCCTGGTAGGATCTTTGAGTTGTCGACCAACACAGTGAATGGTGGTCGCTGACGACTTTGAAAGGGCGGCCGTATAAATACGGGCGAAATTTTGTGACCGCCCATACCACGGCGAGGCATTCCTTCTCAGTTGTGGAGTAATTAGTCTCGCCGCGTGTTAGTGTTCGGCTTCCATAGACGATTACTCTTTCTGTGCCCTCTTGCAGCTGCACAAGCACAGCTCCCAAACAAACATTGCTGGAATCAGTGTGTAGCATCGTTGGGGCTTTCTGATCAAAGTGGGCAAGCACTGGAGGCGTCTGTAGTCGCTGGCGGAGGTTCTTAAAAGCTCTTCGTTGCTCCATTGGAAGGCAACATCTTCTCTCGTGAGGCTGGTTAACGGTGATGCGATGCGCGCGAAGTCTGCGATGAATCGCCTATAATATGCACGTAGTCCGAGGAATCGTCAGACAGCCTTTTTATCAGTCGGCACCGCGAACTGTGCAACAGCTGCGATCTTTTCAGGATCAGAACGAACGCCTGCGTGACTGACAACGTGGCCATGAAATTGCAGCTCTTCATAGCAAAAGTGGCACTTTTCAGGCTTTAACGTCAAGCCCGCGGACCGTATGGCTTGTACAACTGCCTCAAGTCTTTTAAGGTGCTGGTCAAATGTTGCGGCGAAAACTACGACATCATCAAGGTAGACCAAGCAGGTTTTCCACTTCAACCCAGAAAGTACGGTATCCATGAGTCTTTGAAAGGTAGCAGGCGCTGAGCATAAACCGAAGGGCAAGGCTTTAAATTCATATAAGCCATCTGGTGTCACAAAAGCAGTCTTCTCGAGGTCTCTTGGGTCTACTTCGATTTGCCAATACCCACTCCTTAAGTCTATCGATGAAAAGTAACGAGCATGTCAAAGTCTGTCGAAAGAGTCATCTATACGAGGAAGTGGATACACATCTCTCTTTTTCACCTGACTGAGTTTTCGATAATCTACACAGAAGTGCAGGCTGCCGTCTTTTTTTTTTTTTAACGAGGACTACAGGTGACGCCCAGGGGCTTTTTGAGGGCTGAATGACGTCATCTTCTAGCATTTTGTCGACTTCCTCTTCTATCACTTCGCGTTCCTTTGGAGCCACGCGATAGGGGTTTTGGTGAATTGTTCTCGCAATGTCCTCGGTAATTATCCGATGCTTGGTTAGAGGCTTGCGGCCAACTCTTGATGTTGTCGAAAAGCAGTCTTTGAATTCGGCCAGTAGCTCAAGCAGCCTCTTTCGCTCGTTTTTAGGCAAAATAGTGCTAACGTCGAGAACTGGTGTTGATTCAAGTTTTGGCGCCTCGTCGACTACTGCCAAGCAGCCTTCTGCGTCTGTGATATCGTCGAAGTAAGCGACGGCCATGCCTTTTGGAAGGAGCCGGCGCTCTTCACTAAAGTTTGTCAAAAGCAAGTTCGTGCGTCCAGCGGCGACACTGACGATACCTCTTGCGACGGAAATGCCGTGTGTGTGGAGGAGCGAGCTTATTCGGTCTGCTACTCCTTCGCCGTCAAACTGGACAGCGGCTGCCACAGAAACAAGCATGCATGATCGAAGAGGGAGAACCACATCGTCATCAGTTAGACGCCATTGGTTTGGTCGCGCCTGTGTACAATCAGGTGCACCCGAACTGTTGCGGAACGTAATCAAACTGTCTGGGATATTGATGACGGTGCTGTACTCTCGTAAGAAGTCCATACCATTAATTAGATCCTTGCAGCATGCGGCGAGAACGACGAAACGAAGGAAGAACCTCCTATGTCAATTCTCGCTGTGCATCTTCTAGAGGGAATCAATAACTGACCACCTGCCGTCCTTATTTGAGGGCCTGTCCACGGCGTCTTTACTTTCTTGAGGCGGATGGCGAGGTCCTGACTGATAATAGAAAAGTCGGCACCGGTGTCGACTAAGGCTGTTACTTTCTGGCAGTCAAGAAAACATTTAGGTTGGCGGTCACAGTGTCGTCGCTGTCACGTCTTGTCGGATTTACAGCGTCGTGTAATGGGGGCTTTTCATCGTCATCTTCATGGCCTGCAACCTTACCACCGGAGGTCGCCGCCCTCAGTTTCCCCGGCGCGGGCTGGGTGACCTTCTTGCGTTAAGGTCCGCGAAGGTACGTGGGTGTGACGAAGGTGAATGAGCGGAAGAAGGAGAGCGGGATTGACGTCCCAAACCTGGCTGGCGGGTAGGTATTGCCTCCTCGTCAGAAGTACGGTAGTCATAAAAGTGAGAACGGGCTCCATGGAAAGAGGCGCCCTCACGGCGTGGTATGTATTCTTTGCTCGCACTGTCGATCGTCAGACCATGTTCGAAGAGGGCGGAACGAATCACTGCAGTACCAGCAATGGACGGGCAATATGACCTGCACCTCCGCAGTTAAAGCATAATGGACGTCGATCAATTGTGCGCCATGCGTCTGTTCTTCGGAGCGGTGGACGTCTGAGCCTCCCTTCTTGCGACGATGCCCATGGTGCTGCTGTGGACAGGCTGGTGGTACGTCGGTTGGTTTTGCGGTCGGCTTAGGGTCTGCTCTTGCGGGGCTGACCAAGGAACTGTCGGCACTGCGTGGTATGGCGGCGATGTACCAGATGGTGAATGTCGCGGAGCGTTGGCGTAGCTCATGGGACGGTGCTCGTCATCAGGACCAGCGGTAGAAAATGCGTGGCAGATTTCGTCGCGTACCACGTCAGCGATGGACGCAACGGGGGT